GCTACAGAGAGTGTGTAAGAGATGGGGACGTTAACAGGTATATGTGGAAAAGCGCAAGTAAACCTTTAAGTAAAGGAAAAGAGGAAAGGAATACACGTGGGTATGGGTAGTTTAAAATGTATTTGCATCTGTATGAGCTATATCTCAAACGTAAACTCTTTAAATGGATGAATGATGACGGTGATTTGTGTAGGCGTATAATGTGGAATCTGTGAATGGATTTCTATACTTAGGAATATTTATTGAGATCTGAAATTGATAGTATGAAGATGAGGACAATGGTCAGTATAATATATACAAATATAAAATAAAACTGGAGATGGAAGATGGAAATTAATTTCCGAACGAGTATTGGGATGGACTTTAAAAAAAATGACAAAGAGAGATTATCAATTTGGGAAGAAGAGAGAGTGTAATATTTTGAATAGATGGGAGGTTTGGTCATGAAGAGGTAATGAGTTTGAGAAAAGGAGAGATTGCAATTAGTGGGAAGAACAAAAGCCAAGATAGGTTAAAAGACAAGACAAATTTACACACATAAGATGGTTTAAATATTGAGTATACAATTCAAATGATACGAATATTATTTAAGTAAACCGTTGTATACCACTGTATATAAGAAAAATACTAGAAACACTGTTAGGATAATCCTAAATCAAAATGGAGATGTACTAACGTGACTCTTAAGCCTATGAAAAAATATGTCAAGTACAGTCATACAGGAGACAGTGTAACTCCGTACAGTAAATTACGTCAATAGTTAGTAACTCAAAAATTGGACACGAAACAAGTGTGATTTTGTCAGACTGTATTTAGTATTTTATTTTAGAGACCGAAAATTGTTTTTGAATAACTGTTTACATAAAAATACAATATAATTGCAATATATCAAGTATGATTTTCCGATTCTTATTTTGATATTCCGAGTTCGACACTCCCATCAATGACCACCACACATTATCCGAAACATCACCACATTCATAGGCTCATTGAGGTGATATGTCTTTGATAATACTTATGAAATTCCCCACTTAACTTTCGAAATATGAGCAAAAATATTTATTGTTCACTTCTGCACAAAAGACACCAGAAATTTAGAATGATGAAATATAATCCAAAATAAAGGTAAATTTTATTAAAATGAAATGTGTATGCTGAAAAATCAGTTTCAGTCGTCGATTACACTCTAGGTAACAAACTGACATAAGCAATATAACAAATTAATGCATGAAAGTAAGGAAATTTGATCAAGAAAAAGAACATAAGAAACGAATTAATACACGAAAAGCTAAGAAGCGAAGAGATATACGTATTTCTTTAAATGTGAGTTAACTGCATTTACTTTTAAATATCGTGTCGAGAAATCTAGGGGCAAAGAGAAATGACGAAATATGTAATCAGAGCAGGCATATGGGATGTTTTCAGTGCTGAAAACAAAACGCAAACTCATGCAGAGGGGTGGATAATGAATACGAGCCATAAGATTGAAAGTAACTCATACGTCTTAATAACAGTTTGCAATTTACTCAAAATACTTTAGCCTACAAAGACATAGAAGAATACTCTTTCGAGACGCAAACGTTAATGGTACATGAGCTCATACAATAAATTAGTTACTACCTACGTACAATCATTACATTAGTCAATAAAATACAATACAATACACTAAGCAGTACACTTTTTTCAGCGTCCTTGCAGCTCGTTGCGTCTTTTGTGAATGTGTATTCCCACCTGAGATACAGCATTTTCTGGGAAATACATCCTACAGAACCCAGTTTAAAAGTGCAGAAAAATGTGTACATATAGGTGAATGCCATTCATGTGATTTCTGTAAGTCTCCCGGCATTAAGTTTGGAATTTTACCATTGTCTTGACTCGTTATTTACGAATCTGTAGGGTCTCTCAAAACATCGTAGATAACTAGCTGAATGTGGCGTCGTCGACGCTATAAACTATTTTAAAAGTATTTTCATGTGTTGGTAATTTGTACTACACAAATTCTAAATATAAGACACTTTAAACATACAGTTCTCCGTTTCTTTGATCTTCGGGTGTGGTACGTAAAAAGTTATTAAGAATTAAAATTAAACAATTTAAAAAATTAAAAACAATGTGTGGTTCAAGCTCTTCCTGTCTGATGTACTCTCGGGTAATGGCCACCACCCACTCCAGAATACGGTATTTAGGAACCTAATCAGAACGCTGCCAGAAGACTTATCAAGAATACATTCTTGCAATGCATTATCAAGCGGCTTATTAAAAAACACAAAATGTACAAGCTGCTATTCTATAACATATCGTTTCCTTCATATAGAATTTCATTAAAATATAATTCCCTACTTGAAGTCAGGCTACAAAAGGGGATTATCCCATTAGCATTATCATGAGAGCTACACATGACATAAATTATCATACAAAACGATAATTATCCTACAGGAAAGCAATACTGACGATAAACCTTTTCCTTCCGAGTGATCCCAGCCCTGTACCGCATAATGTAAACAGCGGCGTCTCAAGGAGATGCCCCACGGTAGAAGATGCAGTGTAGCAAGTGCGCCTATATACATGGATTAGGGCGGGATTCACGTGATTCTTTCCTTTTGAGGTGAATGAATTGGCAATTTACAGTTATAAAGTTTAAGTTTGATGTATAAAATAAAAGCAAATCAGTTAATAGTAAGCCGGTAGACCAAAGAAAGTTTGTACAGTTCTTTTTTTGTAAGTTTTGATATATTGTTTTTTTCTTCTTTTTTGAGATTCAAATTCACTTTACTCACAGTTGTGCTGCCTCCATCAACCCGAATCAGACGGCTGAGTGTGTGTGGGCGCAGTCAGAGCTGAGGTTGACCCCAGTTGATTCGGGTAGCGGCCTTGACGGGAATACTCGGTAGAGACTGGAGCTGTTTGCTTGAGTAGTTTCTCGTAGATTCGACCAGATGAAAGCTGATGCCCGTGAGTGGTCCGAATTTAGAGGTAGCGACCCGTTGGCCACGCTGGTTGATTGATGGAGAAATGGTAGGCGAAATAGGAGCAGCCGACTCGTTAGCGGGCTGTCTGCCTAGTGGAGCGAGTATTGATATAGTCGTTCTTGGATGTAGATTTGTTGTTCTATTGTCCTTTTGCAATGCTTTCGATGCGCAGATGCGTTCTCGACATCGTGGGAGAAATACCTGAGGGCGGCGGAGAAGAAATGTCTCAAAGCCTGTGACGGCACGGGCAAAAAGCACTTACAGGCTGCGTCCAGGTAGCAATCGCGTGATTGAACTGCGTCCGTACGATACAATTTCGAGCGATCTGTGTCATTCATCGCCTGGATGCCATGGGATGGTGGCGTCGACCGACTCACTAGCATCACATTCAACTCTCCTCACATTCAGCTCTCCTCAAAACCGAACTGCAAATCCCTGTGGGCCTTTCTTTCTGCGCTAACAGGGCTTGCGTGGCTACAGAAGCAACATGGCACAATATTTCTAAAGGGAACTTCAAAAGACTCGAGTCCATCGCACGTAGAGTTGCTGCACTTCGCCGGACAAAAGGAGTCCGACACAATATTAGGAGGATACCTATGACTTTTTCCATATTAAAGAATATTTTGTTACATAATTTTGTTTAGCTATATTCAGTTTGATGAATCATGTCGTAAGGAATCACGTTATGCTCGAAAGGTAATGATTATAGTGATTCACCACAGTATCTTGAAACTTCCCCAAACAAGTTTTTCTAGATATTTTCATAATGTTCTAGCAAGATGTGGCTAAAAATAAAGTCAATCCATCTGTCTCAAGAGAAATTAAAAGAGCTACGTGTCACACCTTAACACCTCCTCACAAAAAAGTTCGGTGCATCGTCAAAAAGGTTAGCTTTCTCTTCTCTCCCTAACACTTTAATAATTCTCTTACAATGTACTCTAAATATCAAACAAATTACCAGTTACCCATCAACAGACCGAGGCGCGTCAACTAACATATGTTTTAGCTCTATTGGTGAACTGGAAGGGGTCTAACCGTGAGTAACGAACAGACCGACGGACGTAGTATACTCAATTACTATACAAGGATTTATATTATTTTCCTTTGTACATTTTAGCCTTCATGATCACTTGCGAATCAAATAATTCAATTTCAAATCGTTAATCGCATACCACTGTTCTAGTCTCTTTGTGCCCGATCTAGTAAATAATTATGATTTGTTTCACTAACTTAAAACAGATTAATAAAAAATTGGAAATCCTGCCCACAAGTTGACACGCACGTTCGAAGAGTATAAGTGGTGCTTGTACTGTCACCTTGCAAAGCGAGGTGGCGCTTGCGTGTCTTATGGACAGTGGAATGTAGCTTCTTCGGACACTTTGATCAGTGCTGTGACGAACAGTGTTTTCGTAAAATGTAGTGCAGTGAAGTGAGAATGAATGGGATGAATGAATGAGAAGAATGATTGGTCAGGTATATAATGAAACAAGTGTGAAGGATGTGTAAATGTTTTAGAAGAGTTTAGTTTACTTTTCAGAGAGAGAGAAATTATTCTCTCCGTCAAGAAATTTGTTGTCTTCTCTTACCTTCTTTCTTCTATAAAAATAAATTGCAAAGGTCTAATTTAACAATATATTAAAGAGAAATATCGTGTGGACATGTAGTTTTGCAGATTTGAATACACAGCACTCAGGCATTGTGCCGTTTCTACCTTCCAGCTGTTTTTCACGTAATATTGACTTGCGAATTGACTGAAAACAGCATAGAATGTTGTTTCCTGCTGAGATCAACCAATAGAAAAGCTCCCTTCGCATGACACGAATGACGGTTTAAACCGTACATACTGACAATTGATTCATACTCATTTTCTAAAAACAAGAACTAAGGCAGAAAAACATTGAGTAGAAATGCATGTAATTTATATAAAAAAATACAAAATGACATGATCTGGTAAAAAGGTGGAAATGGTGGCAGGAGCACGAGGTGGCTGAGGCGGCGGCGAGATCGGCGGGGTGGGTGGAAACGGAGGCTGGAGGAGAGAGCTAGTCCACCTCAGGCTTGCTGGGGCACGCCAGCTGGTACATGAACTGCAGCAGCATGCGGACGGGCCGGCCGCTCATGCGGTGAATGGGCATGTAGGGCACGTCCTCCGTCTCCATGAGCATGCCCGAGCCCGCGATGTCCAGATGCACCCATTCCGCGCAGTCCACGAACTCCTGCAGTGCATGCACAAGGCGCGCCCATGCATCCCTCGCATCCACGGCACTCGAGCAGCGTTCTAGGCTGTTTTGTGCGATGCGGTTAATAACTCGTATGGCTTCAATCGTGTGGAGCTGGCGATGTCACAAGGTAAGCGCTTGGAGAATACGAATGTCTGATTTTTATCCGCACGTTGAGAAAATGTTGTTTCAACTTACTAAAATACGTGTTTAGTCAAAATTGTACCAATTTATTAAGAACAATATATATATATATATACGTATACTTATAAAGATAATAATATATATAATCCAAATGTAATACTCCACCAACTTTCCGTAATGTCAAGAGATCGCAACGCAATTGAACTTCAAGTCCGGTGCAATGAAAGTGAAATGTTTCAGATTCCATCTACCCGCATGTTGTGAAAATAGCAAGGTATCGTATACACACACAAAGCACAAAGTGAGTTCACTACAAGGTTATCGCGTCTCTGCGACGCCAACACGCGCAGAGTAACTGAAAGAACAAATTCATATGGAGAAAATAAACATTATTTTATGCGTAGTGAAAAGAAATAATTATATCAGTCGCCATTGCCAACAATATAGTTTATTACAATAGCAGCTTTTGATGGCTTAGCCATCGTCATCAGTTTTCTGCTGTATGGAAGCCACAAAGGCGACTACTCGTTTTTGTGGCTTCCACGACTAGTCGTTTTTGTCGCTTCCATTCAGCAGAAAATTGATGATGATGATGGCTAAGCCATCGAAAGCTGCTATTGTAATAAACAATATTGTTGGCAATGACGACTCATATAATTATTTCATTGTAAATGCCAACGACAACTCACCACAATACCAATAGTCAAAAGAACTGAACTCATTTTTGGCCAAGTTTACTTTTTCACAGAATAATGATAAGAACAACACAATTTTGTGTTCGGAATAAAAGGGTTATATCCGGGAGCAATACTCCCGTTATCCTTTAATACCTAACAAAAGCTCGTATTTTTATGGTCAAGGAGTGAACATTGTAAAGGTCCAAAATATGATTTTAATCCATTTGACCACGCACCTAAAAATGATGCTCAACGGTATAACACCCCCCATGCTCAATTTACTGAAAGATCCAGATATACGAAGAGATCCCTACTGATTGAAGCGCTACACCTGCCGAGGTGACTTCGATAGTTATATTCAGCGGTCCCAAAACACAAATATATTCTACTGATTGAGAAGGGTACGCCGAAAAAAAATATCATTCCCTTCGCTGTCCATCAACACTGATTCTTCTCGTATTCACGAGATCGTACAAACTACAAGTTTATTAAGTAGATGTAATGAAATGTGATAACCATAGGGGTAACAATTTATTACTCCGTTTCGGAGCAAATTCGAAGGTAATTCAAAAAGGAAACAAGATATTTCAAGTGTAAAGGCACCGTGTTGCAAATACCATCATATTCCGTCAACATCATGCAATGCACATTGTAAATGTCACTCGTGCATTTGCGCGTAGCACATCTGTATTTTAGTATTTTTTGATAATATTTCTGAAAGTGCGCGGCGAAAGGAATTTTTAGTGAAGCCAATGGGCTCACACATTTTCCAACGCCACTTTAAAGCGGCGGATGTTTAACCGAGGAGGGACTTCTCTCCATGGTGAAACATTTTAAAGTGGGTTTTACCGTTCCAAATTGTCATATTTTAAAAAGAAAGCTAACCTCGAAGTATGCATGTTGGCCCAAATTAATTTGCGTACGCGGTTTATCGCAAAAAATATCTTGATACTCTTTTCATATTTTCGTTTTTATTGCCACATTCTCGTATAAGCAATAAAGTAATTAATGGCACAATGATTGTGATCTGCGAAGTTACTAATTCCGTTAATTGCAGCAGTGATAAAAATAATTTAAGACGTACTAAACTACTGAGCATACATTATTGACGACACTTTAAAAATAATTTTGCAAATGCGGTTTTTAACACAAGGAATTTTTCAGCAACAAAATGTATTATTTTGAAGCTCGAAACATGATGAGGTAAAGTGATTTTATACATCTTCACTAGTCAACATTCAAGTAAAATAACTCTCCTCTGTAAATTTTAATGCATATTTGTAATCTTGTATGTCAACTTTCATTAATATTTAAATCTACTGATATCAATTTTTTAGCTCAATTTATCCATAGTTTTATAATAAGGGATCGTAATATGTGTTGTGCAAAATGAATTTGCTATTTCAAATCAACCGCTATAAGTTATTTATGTTGCATAGAAATACGAAATCGGTTGATTCATTAGGAGGATGATGGAACTTTTGATTGAAATAAGAGACCTCTGTGCAAATATATCCCCAGGTCCCTGGGTACCTCTAGTAAAACGTTTGGTCGAAATGAAATTTCATAAGTGACAACAGATTCATATTAACAGGTAATTCTTAACTAAGAAGCGGAATATATTGTAACTATTGGAGCACACAATATTACTGTGCATATGCATTGTCATATTTGCATCTATTTTTTCTACGATGTCCATAATTTTTATTTTAACTCGTTTCTTTTGGCGTCGTTTGCGTTTCCCTTTTTGTTGCTCCGGACATCGCCTAAACTTTCAGAGGGTGATCCGTATCACCCACGTAAACTCTCCACCAAAACTTTCTATTTACAACTGGTCACAAAAAACATCCCCTGACCGTTTTATCTCAGATGCACATTTACTTCAACTGACTTTATTAAAATTATTTTTAATTTCGGTTCATTCTGTACGTCGACTAGTCTTCACTAGGCTTTCCACTAAGCAACGCTGCAGGTCACGGATCTGAAGAGGGCTGCGCCTGCAAATTCGGTCGCTGGAGATTTTCGTTTTCTATCCAAAGAATTAAAAAGATTACGGTTTGTTGTTGTGCACTTTGAAAAAATAAAATGTTTCGTCTTTGTGAAGCATAGAGAACACTGTAACGCATTATCTAAGGATATGCCAACTTAACCAGTTGTCCTCAAATGATAGACATCACTATCCCATTACTGGATGGTTTTATCAGAAAAAATCTTAATGAGATTGTTGAACTACACAATTTCTAGAAGATGTTGGTGGTGAGTTCAAACCGTTTCTCCATTTATCCAAGGGAGTATATATCTGGACCTATCGACAGACCCCCAGAAGCCTTGCTAATGTCGCTGTCGCAGGCCGCTGTGGCCTGGCGTGCTCCAGGGACTCACCCGTAGGAAGGCTGCGGCGCGGCACGGCCCGCCCCCCGGCCCGAAGCCTCGATTGCTCACGTCCGCGTTGCGGATGCCTGCAACACACAGTGCGAGTCAGACCCTCCACGCCTCAGGCCTCCAATGGCGCTCACAGAACACCCACGCGCGCACTGCCTGCGGTATTCGAAGAGATCCGGAAGATGCTAACGCGTTTACGTTTCCATTTCCCGATGGGTGGGCACTGGAGATTTTTCTTTGTCACCCGCTGTATTGTGTAGCAGTAATTGATGAGAGTATTCTGGTGATTAAGCAATAAAATGTCTTTGGGGAACCTTGTATCACAGATAAATGATTCTCATCTCCATCGATAAATGTGCCCTCGCGTTTCTCTCTTATTTCACCGTCAGTTGCCACACATTTTATGACTGACAACTGACGATTGCAAAAAGTAATGCACCTTATACCCTGAGGACCTACGGTTCTTAAAACCGTATGAAGAACGCCTGAAGGATAGGCAACCCACGACACGTCACACTTCCAAGAGCTTCTCTATGCGTCGAAAAGTTTGTAATAATAACTCAGACACCAAAACACGGGCTAATATAAAAATAAATAAGACGCATAAAAGATAAGAAAACGTGAAAAATGTACCTGTTGCGACACATATCACATTCTCGACACATATCACAGCCCGCATCTCGCACAATACCTTTTGCCCCCTAAGTAAGGAATGTTTCGACTATCCCCTGGTTCTCCTTTCTACTCCATACTAGCCACATGGGTATTTCTGGCGGTTGTCGCTTAGAGGAGTTGCATTCCATGTTTGTAGATTAATGGAGAAAATACTATATTATTACCATTCCTTTTATAAAAAATATCTAAGGATATTCACTGTTATTGATGAAACAAACGACACATTTTGTTTAGATTTTCAAAACGTACGTAAGATTAAGACTCAAAAATATAACTCACAGAAATCTATTCATACGGCATAATTAAATTATGCAATATATACTATACAAAGTTTTTGAATCATTACTATTGGAGGAATACTGTACCAATCAATATCGCCTAGATTCTTTGTTTACAAAATCCTACAATGCACCGAGGGCCTTTTTTGTAGAACATTCGCTAATTCAGCAGCAAATTTATCAGTTTTAAAGAAACCCGGGGGATGGAGAAGTGCTTCAGAAACTGAATAATACAGGATTTAGAGGAAAATAAAAGTAAAGTAACTCGAATGATACAAGAAAGTGTAAGTTTCATTGAAATGTTAACGTAGCAACAAACAGGATACTACGTCCACTTTTATGAGAAATGTTCCAATAATAAATACGGAATATTCAATTAAATACGGAATATACAATCATTGTAGATATAAATTAATAAAGTGTATGTACATATAAGTGTTTGTACCGTACATGTACATATTATTTCAATATGAATTTATTTATGCATTTTGTGATCATTGTTATTTCAGTGCGGAAAGAAATTCCAATGCGTTAAAGCGGTTCTTTCACAATTTTCAAGGCGGGAAAAGACAATAGAATTTAATATTAAATAACTATTGCAAATTTCTCAATTTTGAAGGCCTCTCATTTTCAGTTAGCAAGTGCTCTGCTCACCTACGACCTTCTTCGTGAAGTACTTCCACAAAGGAAACCTCCACACGCGGTCTCCAGTGATGGCTCCGGCCTTGCTAATCTCCTTCCACATCTCGTTGCTGGAAGTGTACACGCCCGTGGCCGCGCTCCCCACCGCCGCCACCATGCCCTCTGCAGCAACCAAGGAGAGCATCCTGGCCACGTCTCTCTAGTTTGAGACCACCAATTTCAAAAAACGGTTTATCTTCACACATCGAATTGGTCTTACAGAATATGACAACTTCGTGTTTCATAATCGAAATACTCTATATACTTATTGAATTGAAATGCTACCTTATTTTACGTAGCGAGACTCTCGCCATGAGGCCTGCTTTTCCGTCTGACTATGTAAATTTCGCGACGCTTCTTTCACCCACTAGCGGAGAAGTATCACTCGGACGACGAAATAGGCGATTTGAATTTAGCTCAGAGGCTTCATTTAGGCTTGAGGATCTTTTACATACAGTAAATCTGCTAACATGGGACAGCCGGCTTTACTTCTCCTCCGAAGGCAGGCATACGAAGGATTTTTCGCCCTAAAAATCTACGGCTTCAACTAATATGCGAACTTGGGTAATAACAGTCCAATACGCTAACCGTTACATCATCGCACATCATACAATATTTGGTATCTTATGTCATTTCAATATACGAAATATTTGACAATTTACGCGCAATGAATTTGATAAAATAAAGCGTTACATTTCGCGTGTTCCGTGGCTCATTTCTTAGGTTTCACCTCCGCCCTTCGCCTGGTGTTGATCGGAGAAAGCACAGAAAACCACCGAACAGAGCATCCGGCCATTAGAATTCTCCTCCAGACTGCGGATGAATTCGACATAGCTATGTAGCTAGTGTCGAAAATCCTGACACCGTCGGGACTCAAACCCTGGACCTGCCAGTCATCCACTGAAGTGGCATCAATTGAAACCTTGAGCCACATCAGTCGGAAACTGCTGGGTTATGTGAAGCGGTCGCGTCGCCCTCACCGGTGAGCGTGCCCACGTCCACCACCATGCGCGGCACGAAGTTCTGCGCCGTGAAGGCGAGCGCGTCGGCGATGAGCAGGCGGCCCTCGTTGTCCGTGTCGTCGATGAGCACCGTCTTGTTGTTCATGCAGCGCACGATGTCCCCCGGTCGCATCGCCATGCCGCTCGGCATGTTCTCGCACACCGGGATGATCGCTGCGCACGCGGCCAAAGACCGCGACCGAGATTGCGGTGGGCACGGAGGTGTAGCAAGGTGGCCCAATCATTATAGCACAATGGCATAAACTAGATGGAATATTTACTACTCATTTATTTCTAATTTATTATCCCAAAATTAAATGTATCACTGTTGTCGTTTAGTAAATAAATATTGATAAAAACTGCATGAATGTCTGGCATAGTTGCAAAAATGCAAAAAAGCAACCATGCCAGACATTCGAGTATGATAATAGATAGTGCGACGGGCACGATCAAAATACTCCAAATACATAATTAAATATTACTAATTCATTACTACGAGACGTTCATTACTAATCGATGGGTTGCGTCAGAGTTGAGAGCGTAGGCTTCCGCGGGCGGAGTCAGTATTTTCGTGGCTGTCCGGGTGACGCCGCGTCGACGGCAAAGGCGCCGACGTTTCGGTCGCAATTTTGCGACCTTCCTCCCTGAGGTCGCATTACGTCCTGAGGAAGGTCGCAGAATGGCGACCGAAACGTCGGCATCTTTGCCATGGACGCGACATCACCCGGACAACCAAGTAAATACTGCGTCAGAGATATTCATTAGCCACACTCTTGGCGGTTTTCAATTTTCTTATTAGAGAGATTTTCATCTGGTGTCTCAGAATTCTTTATGTTAACTGATACTCAGCGGCAAATGAAGTTATAACTCAATTTTCTTCCTTGCGTCATTGTTAAGGTTAGAAATATGTTCGAAACATAGTTTCAAAATGATATCCTGTAAAGAAGTGATTCGTGGCATATTACTATCTTTGAAGCAACCATTCAAGTAACTGCCCGCACCCACCTTTTTTTTAAACGTCAAGAGTAATACATTTAATTTTGGAGTAATAATTTAGCATTAAATTAGTATTAAATATTCCATTTGGTTTTATGTGATTGTGTTATACTTGTTGTACCAGCTTGATACGCTCTGGGAATGGTGTGCTGAAACCTGCCTACTGTGCGCAGCAAAGAGTTTAAAGCAGGGATTGACAGCGTGGCACGGCGCAGCCCGACGTGGCGCCGGTCGAAATATTTCGCAATTAATTCAGTTAGAAGTGACCCATTCCGTAAGGCCGGCGCCGCTCGACAACGGAACAGACCGGTCGGAATGCTTCCCCGAGAATCAAATCCGTTCGAGTCCAACGGACAGTATACGTCGATTTATCCATAGTGTCCTTTGACAGATCATCAGCTGTTTCGGTGTCATCCAATCAGGAGCTTAAACTTACTATAGTGACGTCATTATGGTAACGTTCAAGCTCTCGATTGAATGAGATCGTAAAAGCTAATGACCTGTCAAAGGCCACTGTAAATAAATCGAAGTATAGAACATCGTCGAGACATCTGTTCACGGCGGATGAACTTCTGATCGGTTTGACGCAGCGTGTGACCTTGACAGATTCCCCGATAGAGTAGAGGTTAACAAAAAGCAGAAGAAACTTACAAATTGGAACCAACATTTTGAAATTTCATAAAGAGACATTAAATTTGTTTGAATATCACTTCGCTCTCAGATAAATAACGTACAAATTGTAATTTGATTCTTACAAAAAGTCTAGCCTGCTAAAGACAGTCAATTTAACAGAAACAGATCACAGACTTTCTCGTATTTGTGACGGTTCTTTATGTTCTTATAAATGCTATTGCAACTTATAATTTCAGTCATCACTTATAAAACTTTCAGCCTAATGCTACAATGTCAAGCACAATATATCTTTTTACTAATATTTAAAAGTATGTCTACACTTGAAAATACGATTTGAAAGAAGTATAACCACATATTTCACATGTGAGCATTTGTATGAGCGACTGTTATGAGCCCTTAGTTTTTTCATACTTGTATCCAATTCGGTTTACAATCGCGATTGGTATCTGATTACTTTCCTCGATGTCGGCGTTGTACAAAACCCAGAAAAGTTAGGATATCGAGTTATTACTTATTTAACCTGAAAAACAAACAGTAAAACCACTGTGACGTTTGAGAGAATTGGCACGTGTGGAACATATGGAAGATAAATACACAATCGAAGGCTTCGGGACAACAACATGCTATGCCACTATAAGAAGTTTTGAAAAAAGGAAAGTGAAGGTTTAAACGTTTCCATAAATAAGTAAAATAAAGCCATATTTTGCATAATCTATCAGTATTCACATGCTGGCATATCCACATTATCTCCAATAATTCGCAAACTGATACGTAAGCTAAAACGAAATACACTAATATATCAACTTCATCAGGAATGTGGCATAACATGTTATTGACTCAACGTCTTCAATTCATTTGTACTGTTTTGGATATTTTACAAGTCAAAGAAAAGTGGAAAATCGAAATAAGAGCAATCGACGGCAATGAGAAATCTTGAATCATATATCTACGCAGGAAATTAATGATATGCTTGTATAAGAACTCACTTCTGTTGTAATTACTGCATTATTTCAACACAAAGTACCGTCTTTTTGTAATTGAACTATCTTCTACCACAATTATTTTACTTTTTCAACAAAAAATAGTCTGTTGATCGGCTTTTTAACTACTTTCTTACTATTAAATGTTTCGACATAAATTCTTGAAAAAACTACGCACTATTATTTTCTATTCCGAACATTCTACTGCGACGCGATTGGCTTCAGCCTACCGTTGGCGTTGATGGGCAGGCTGAGCACGGAGATGGCGCGCATGAGCGCCACAATGACGGCCGCGCCCGCCATGTCCCCTCGGTACTTGGACATGCCTCGGCACTTCTTCAGGCACAGGCCACCCGAGTCGAAGCACACGCCGGAACCTGCGCAGTGCATGGCGCGATGTGGAGGTCTTAACCGAAGCGATCGACAGAGACAAAATAAAAGAAAGTCATGCACGTGCAGGAAATTCTCAAGAAAAACCCCCGGAATCTTCTTGTCGATTTTCTCTATCGAACCCTTGCCCACGCATAAAGAGTTGTTTTCCTGAAGAAAGTGCTGCAGGAAAATTACTTAAGAATTTTTCCAGGCCCTTTCAATTTGGATCATGATAATCTTTAAAGCTAACTTTTCACAAGCAAGGTTCATTCTCAAGCATTTGGGTTAATTGTCAAAAAATTCGCGAGCCATGTCTGATGACATGAAAACCTCAAGACCGTCAGAGCATCAACCCCACGCGTGATCAAGAGATGGGAGATACCCGGCCTCAAGGTCTCCCGCCTCCTCTGCAGCCCCAAGGAAATCGCCACACACTCTGGGAAATTCCTAAAGGCTTGAACTGTTTGGACCATATCACCTTGGGGAAATCTAGCTCGTGTATGGGGTCCGTAACTTTGAACGACAACCCTTCAAAATGATCAATTTTTTGTTGTTTTTTAGACAAATTTAATGTTTATAATACCAACGTAATTCGGATTGCGCGACTACTCCTCGGCCCGACAAGCAATGCCTATTTTCATTCTCGCAAACTCCTAATACGTGAGCAGAATATAGTAACACCACTTCATAACATAAAATATTGCAAACATGTTGTAGTCCGTTGCACCAAAAGGTTTCGAAAATCTGGATATTTGTTTTTCGAAACTTGTCAACATACACTGATTCTTCAGTTGTATCGATTGTGTAATTTTAACTAATGAATTGACTTTGATTGTGAAATGGTCACTAGTGACATTCACAAAATGTGAATAATACGTGCACTGACTAAAAAATGTAGCATTGTACTATCAGCAACCACTGTCACCTGGAATTTCGATCTAGGTGGCGTGGCATGGAGAACTTCCCCATGTTCTTCTTCCCCTTTTTTGTACTACGGATAATTACGCTATTAATTAATTAATCAATTAAATAATTAATTAAATACAATCTCAGCACGTATATTTCGCATAAAATTAATTTATTTTTGTTTGCCAAATTCACTGTAACCGTTTATTGTCGTTCTTTTGAAAGGTGTACTAATTAAAACAATAATATCGTATCTG